GAGGTCTTGCGGGGAGAACACACACACACACACACACACACACACACACACACACACACACACACACACACTCATACGAAGACCGCCAAGTTGGTTTGAAGTGGACATTCTCCTCCCAGACTGTGCTCAAAACATTTCGTTTTGCTGTTGGGATGCTAATTTCCAATCCGGTCAGAGTTACACAATGCTATTGTCAGAAGATGGATGACCCCGACAGAGCGTTCGTTCATAATTCCCGTGATTTACTAAGTAAGATGTCCAATAAAGGCAGGCGCTCATATTTCATCAGCTCCGTGAAAGAGGCGCGCTTGGTTCCGGCGCCGCCGCCGCCGTCGTCGAAGCGTACGCATAAGGAACGCCCGCTTTGTCGTTTGTCCGCTGGCCGCCGGGATCGATGGTGAACTTTGTCCACCGGCAGACGTCTCCTCTGGGTCGCCGCTTGATGAAACGCCTTTGCCGTGGCCGCGTAAAAGAAAGGCTTGAGGAGTCACGCGCGCGGGGAGGCCATCAATAAAGTGCCCAGCTATTTTAGACCCGCCAATGATTCATGGCCGCTCGGCGTGTTGAGATAAAACGCTCATAACAAACCGCCAGAAAACTCGGATGCGGATGGCTGGCAAGCCGATCAATTTTCCACGTCGAAATGGAAAAACTATTGAAAGCAACGACCTCTCTGTGATAACACTGCCGCACAAAGCTTCCCGAAAACCTGAAAAAGAGGCACCGAGTCGGAGCGGAACGAAACCCGACGCCACCGCGCTGGATAAATACTGAAAATCAAGCACAGAGTTGAGCGGTATTGTGCCACGCAAAAAAAGCCTGAAAATGTTTTCGACAAAGGGCTGATCATGAGGCGCAGAGTCTGACGGCGGCGCTATGTGACGCAAAATCGCAAAACAAACATTCCCCAACTTTTTTTTAAAACGTGGATCTGAACGGCCATTTGCATTGATGTCGTTCGTGTCCTTGCGCCGTTCCCGCCTGCACTGGAAAGCAAACAATGGCTGGAAGGCGACCAGACCCGGGCGGGCCGGCGTCGCGCTGGCGCGGCCTCAATGGCCGCGCGGCGCCAAAGCGCTTCCTCCCGCTCCTCCTCATCGATGGCCTCGACCATCTCGGCAAATTCGCATCGGTCCTCGCTCTCCAAAACGTGATTTTTCTTTCCTTTCGACCGCCGGCCGCTGACATTTTCGCGTGTTTGACGGCTCCCGGCCGTCGCTTTAACGCCTCCCTCGGCAAATAAATGATCTTCCGGCGCCCGCGCTCGGCTAATTATCGGGCCGAGACCGAAGATTATCGCCGGGCCAAAATGATGAATGGCCGCGAGCCGGAGCAGGTGGGCTCACTCTTTTCCAGATAACCCCCCCCCCCCATTTTCTCCCGTCGGCGTGCGGGAAGAAAAGGAGAATGGCTCCTCCATCCTAATGGTCTTATCGAGATCCGCAGGATGTGTTTGCCGAGCTCCGAGCTCTTGTAATGAGCAGACGGAGAAGGATGAAACAGTCAAATGAGCCGCGCGGCCCGCCCGCCCGCCCGCATTAGCATATAGATAAGCAACGTCGTCGATACGTGGCGGCGAAATGCGCAAAAGGGGCTGTTTAGGCCTTTGGTGGGCAAGTGTGTCAAAAAAAAAAACAAAAAACACATTTTGAAGTTTTGACGTTCACGTCCGCCATGTCAAAGTGAAATCAGCAATGCCAATCATGCAACTTGTGTCGCCAAGGCAGATTCAGTGGATTCATTCAGTGCTGTTTTTATTCCCCCCCCCCCCCCCCCCAAAAAAAAAAAAAAAAAAATTGAAGGGTTCTTTAAAGTCGGAAAAAGACTCACGTAGTGACAAAGCAGCGTGCTATGGAAAAGACACTCCCGCCTGTCCCTTTTCACACTCTCACGCCGTGCTTCTTTTTCAAGCTTTTGTCAATCCCGCTGTCGTCACGGTTCGTCATTTGTCTCACCCCGAGTTTCTTTTGCGGGTTTCCCATTGCGAGACCCCGGAAGGCGACGTTTCGTACATGAACGTCGCAAAAATGTCCTGCGCTCTTCAGTGATTGTTTGTGCGGCCGAGCGTCAGGCGACTCAAGACCGTCAACGGTGTCAATTTTGCAGCAGGGGGAGAGAATTTTATCCTTCGTGATGACAAATGTGGTGCATTGTGTGTGTGTGTGGGGGGGGGTGGCGGAACAACAAGATCTTTTTAGTCGATGCTCTGCTGAATGCAGCATCTCGGCCCCCCCGCCGGGGGTCGTTTCCTTCTCCAGCCCTTCGCCTTTGTTGATCCGGCGATGGCAGCGTGCAGCTCAATTTACGTCCAATTAGGCGTCTGATGCGTGCTATTAAATACATGGCCGTGTTCCAATTAGGGAAGGGGGGCGGGGGGCGGGGGGCATGCATCATTTTTAATGGATCCGCTCACGCTCTTCCATCACCACCTTACCGAACCGATCCTTTTTATTTCTTTCTTTATTTTTTATTGGGGTGCATCCACTGACTTGTTCACGGGGTGATGTATGTGTGCGTGCGTGCGTGCGTGGGTGGGGACCGCAATGTGGAGCCTCATTATAACACACACACACACACACACACACACACACACACACACAAACGTCTCCCATGGTGGCCGTTTATTGAGTTTATTGAATGATCATAAAGTGTTACGTTATGATGCAACTGTGTTCCATGCAAGGGTGATTAATAGGCCGAACACGCGGAGAGAAAACCATTTTTAGCAACACAATGAATTTACAAGGCGATAACGGTTGCATTCAGTAAAAAGGAAGACACAATATTATTGGCGAAACGCGAGGTAATGTGTTAGGGAGAGAGAGAGAGAGGGAGAAGGAGACGGATGCCGGTTCGCTTCGCTTGTCAGAGCGAGAGGCTAATTAGCTTAGCTTGAGAGACACGAGAGACGAACGTTGGGTGCTGAATGCAAAAGTCTGCATGCGGCAGAATGGAAATACAAGAGGCTTGAATTTTGTGCTTGACAAAAAAAAAAAAAAAAATGGCGTGTTCAAGAATAGGATGCATATTGAGTCGGAGAGGTTTATTTGTTGAATATCGCTTTTGAACTCAACGAATAATGATTTTATTCATGGGGAATTGAACATCAAGCAACGTTTCAGCCCTATTCAGTCGCTAAGAATGAATGCCACTCATGAAACGCTTTGTTCTGGACAAGCATGGAGAGTAATCCCTTTTTTTTTTTTTTTGGCGGTTCATGGAGACCCCAACCCACCAGCCAAAGGTCAAGAACCGCAAAGTAGGATTTGTCCCCTTGCCGGAATCTTCGCGTATGTGGGTACCAGCATGTTTCACATACGCAACCGGGATTTATACTTGACATATTTGAGACAAAGATGACAACGGGACACGTATTGACTTCAAACCTTATCCGGTAATTAGCATACGTCAAGATTGCCCCCTGAAAGAGGCGGAGAAGCTCGTGTCGGTGGCGTCGACGGCGCCTCCCACTTGACTCGTCCAGGCTTTCGCTTCGCTCCAAGACTCTCCTATTGGAGGCGCTGACGAGGTGGTGGAGGTTTTCAAATTGGAGAAGAACACGGCAATGGGGAGCGCCATGACCTCCATCTTGTCTTCTTAGTAGTTGAAGGTTTCTTGTTTTTTTTCTTAAATCAAGCCTCGGTCTCTTTTTGAGCGAAGGAACAAACTCTGACCGTTTCGGCTGTCGCTTCAGCCTTCGTCGGAGCTGTCACTGAGCTATACTCGGAGCAGGGGCTTGGAGCGCAGTTTAACTCATTAAAAAAAGTTACGCCGCTGAACCGACTCTTTGGTTCCTGAGCTATACTCGGAGCAGGGGGCTTGGAGCGCAGCTTAACTCATCAAAAAAAGTTACGCCGCTGAACCGACTCTTTGGTTCCCGCTTAACCGGAAGAGACCGCCGCGGATTGCACGCCGGTGAGCAAAAGTGAGGCCGACCTATGGGGAGGGTGCTCAGCTTGCCCTTCTTCATAGCGCAAGGCAACCCAGGTGCACCGTCTGTCCGCAACGCGCTCAACTCCAAAGAATTCCCTGCTAGGTGTCGGAACCCAAAGCAAAAAAAGACAAAGCAGACATTGCCTTGCGTCTGCCAAGTGGACGTGGCAATGCAGACGACAAATCCGAGTCAAAGCCGTTGGCCTGTAAATGTCTTCGGCACACCCTGCTGTAAGCGGTGAAGGCAGGGCGAGCAGTGGCTAAGCTGCATGAGAGAGGACAGCCCCCCCTCCCCCTCCCCCCACTGCAAAACGCCAGATGAAAACCATGTTGTCATTGGTGATTTTTGAAGGACGCGTGTGTGTCCACCGTTGAAATTGGAAGCAAAATGACTGAGCGCCCGGCCCATCATTGGAGATAAAAGGAAAAGAATTTGACATTTGAATTTCCGTCCGCATGCATTTATGTATTCCATCATGCCCTTCAATCAATTCAAGTAGTCCAATTCGGCTGTTCGGAAGCGACCCTTTTTGCCCGAGACTGGGATTTCTCATGTATTTCGATGAGGATGAGTGAGTGCTGCTTGTAAGCCCCCCACGCCCCCCCCCCAACCCAACAATCAGTGCCGAGGCCGGAGCGTTTTCCAATGGATTGAACGGCAGCAGAGGCTTCTTCTTTTCCTTCTTGCTTTCTCCTCGTCCCGAGTGCATTTGAACAGGCTTGTCTGCAGTGGCCACGTGGGGGTCACGTCTGTAGGGAACACCAATCTGTCCTCCGTTCCCGGCTCAAACTCAACATTTGCAACACACACACACACACACACACACACACACACACACACACACACACACACGGACCATTTTAGAGCCTCATCATAACATTTGCTGTTGAATTGAGTTGGATTTCTCCAGATTATTTCTCCTCGCCGCTGTTGAATTTCAGTTGTGCAAGGTGGTGATTGTGATGAATGGAATAGCGGCGAGGTGCGTCATCACATGAATGATATGATCATGAATGATGCATGGCATATGTGTATACATATATATATATATATATATATATATATATATATATACTCATGGAGGCTGCCGATGCCAGCCAATGATACTTAAGACAAAAAAAATACAATTAAAATCTGACATCAATAAAGTCCCCCCCACTGAGCAGTTGTTGTCACTTTATTGCAGCAGTTTGACACATTGACAAATCATCATCTGCCTCGTGAAAGAAAGGTGTTGCTTCCGAATGATCAGTCGTTGTGTTGATTCTAATCTCAAAATATCGGACAAAACTACAGAAGTGGTTTTCATGGAATGGGCAAAAATGCAAGTCATTAAATCTGATAAATCATTTTTCACAGTACAATTGAGAAAGTCGAATGGTACTTGTGTATTTGGACCTTTTCTGATGATGATGTGATGAAAGGTGCACATGAAATTTGTGTGCGTGTGCGCGTGCGTGTGAAGAAAGAAGCGCGTCGTAGCACGCATTGTCCGCTCGCCGCTTTAGGACCCAGCAGGGAGGTTGACGCTTCTTCTGCCTGCAGGGTGACTCGAGCGCGCACGCTCAGCGGCTGCCGCTGCCGCCGCCGCCGCCGCCGCCGCCGCCGCCTCCTCCGGCACTGCTGCCGCCGCACAGCGTCAGACGCACACAGCCCGGGATCCTCTCCCCTCCCCCTCCCGCTCCTCCTTTTCCTTTCCTTTTATTTGAGTTCACCTCGCTGTCAGGATACGTCCCGTGCGTGCGTAAGCCGGGAGCGAGCGCGCGTGGGGGACACACAAAGCACCGCGCCGGCAAGATTGCGCACAACGCCCGGTCCTCAGCCTCCAAATGATCGCCGTCCTTTTTCGGGGTGCGAGCATGTGCGAAGACGGTCGGAAAAGTTTGCCGGCTGTGGATGAGCTCGCTTGGTGAACGAGGCGGCCGCGGTGCGTTTTGGACAGGTGAGTGCGTGCGTGCGTGCGCCTTTTTACGCGCTCTCGCGGTCTGGGTGAGCCATCCGCAGGAGCCCCGCGAGCGGCCGCACGCCGCTTGAGTGTTACCGCTCGCTCGCTCGCTCGCTCGACAGGTCGCTTGGTGTGCTTGCGGAGTTGATGTGGACTTGGGAGGCGGGCGCGTTTGAATGAAGGCGTGCTCGGAGCGCTCGCCGTGGTGCTGAAAGTTTGCCACGCCGCCGGTGTTTCTCGTCACTTGTTCCGTGCAGCGTTTTGACTCGCAGATGGGGCTCATATTTTGGCTGCCCCCCCCCCCCCATATCTGTCACGGGCCGAGTGGGGTTGCTCCGACTTGAAAATTCGATGAAGTCATGACGCACAGGGCAATGGGCTGCTCGCAACAAATTCATGGAAAATTGTGTCCAGCAAATATGTACGTGTTGTATATATGTATACATATATAATATGTACTACAGTTCAGGGAATGTTAAGAAGACAGTGGGGGGTGGGGGGGGGCTTGTCATCCTTAACGTGAAGGCAAATTCGGTTGAAGGTGGCAACAGGTCTGATGACCAACGGCGAGATGAGTGTCACGCATAGGAGCAAAACCTTTCTTTTGTTTTTCGTGGCGCTAAGAGATTTTCAAGTTCCGAGCTGTTCAATGCCACTCCCGGCTGAAGTTTACTCGAAAAGTAAATAGAAGTGAAAGTATTTGTCCATTTATATTTTAAAACAAGCGACTCATGTCGCCGTAAGAGAGGCCTGCTAGCTTCATGCGCAACACGTGAATATAGCAATACTCGATCCCGTATATTCTTTATCCTCGCCAAAATGTAACAAATACGACAGCATTTGACTGAGTCGCAGTAAAGGCAGTCGGAACTTGTCTCCTTCATTTGTGTCTGCGTGACCATATTATACTGCCACCCGGTGGCCAAGGCGAGCACATCAGCGGGAGCAGCACAATGAAATGTATCACAGCATTACTTAAGTTATTACTTTTTTTCCTGAATAAAATAAAATATCATCGACTTATTTTTTTTTTCAATTAGTCATTCTTTTGTCTTTTGTTTCCACTAAATCTAATTTCCCCCTCTTCTAGAATGTGACCCTGGGCTTTGTTTTACTTGACCACCACCAAATCCTTGAATTGGATTCACCCAATTGGATCGAGTCCGTGCAAGTGTACGCCCGATATCACGGATGAATTTCTGGAAATTGAAGAAAAAAAATCCACTTTTGTGACTTGAGGTCAGGTCGCACTTCGCTGCTTGGTCGCTCGTCTGGCTAAAGCTCCCTGATGCGGGGAGCGGCTATGTTGGTGTGCCTTCACGGCGTATTTGGAGCCCGAGCGAGGGTGG